CTTACAAATTAAATATAAAATTCCCTTTTTTATAAATAAATTTCGTTAATATTTTTGAAGAATATTTATCTTAATTAAAATTCTTTAATAGTGGAAAATTCTTTGATGATGTCACAAATGACTGCACATAAAGTTGCATCTAATATTGTTATTTTTGCTCTAACAAATAAGATTGCAAATAATATGAGGATTAATTCCCTTGCCATTTTAGTTGCTAAATATGTACAATTCCGAATTCATCTACAGCTTGTAGTTTATGCAGTTCACCTACGAGATAATTTAATTTAACAGATAGTTCTTGCAATTGCATTTATGGCTATGAAGAAACCGGATAGATAGATTGTTAGGCTATATAATAATCTTATAGCTAATCCTTTTTGACTCTTAAAACTGTTCTTCATAATTTATCTTTTTATATGTAGCTTGTACTTGCGATTACTCCATTTTTCCCTTACATTCAATATTCATTTATTTTACAACAATAGATAGGCTTAATTTCAGAAATATTGCCAGATGATATCTAAGATTTGAGAATAGAACTCTTGAATGAATATAATAACTACAATTTTAAATTTTTTGGTAATATAAAAATTAGTTAATCTGAAAATTTTCGCGCATAGGGAATAATAAATTAATTAATTGTAAGTGGTATTATATTGATTGCTTTACTTTTATTTAAAATAGCAAGTATGATTATAAAAGGCTTGTAAAAGAATTCTTTTTTTAATTAATTTCAAGCATTCATGTTTATAACTGCGTCAAGGTTACTTTCAACTCAAGTAACCTTCTCTGTTATATGGGTTTTCTTACAATTAGATTAACTCAACTCAAATGTAAAAGCATTAACTGCAGCTTCTGTAGATAGTCTAATAATTATTTTCTTTATTGTCAGCCTAATTTATCATTGTAAAGAGGTGTTCAAATATTTTCAACTCCAAAAATAATCTTCTCATATTTCTACAGATACGAAACATATGCTAAATGAATCAATAAATTTTTAAAAATCTTCAAGCAATAACTTTTTGATTAGAGATATAAATTTAAATTAAGGATGTAAATATATTATCTGGGTGCTCATTGAGTTCAGGAAAATAATTTGTGTATTTTTTTTAATTAAATTCCAAAACAAAGTAGGATTGTTTATAGGATGTGGACTATCAATTATCTTTCTATTGATTATACTTATTTTTCAAATTTTTGATACTAAACAAAAAACTATGTTCAATTTTTTTTCTGAGATACTACTAAGCAGTTTATATATCTTAATAGCTGTAAACTAAAACTCTCTAACTGTTGAACTTGAGACTGGAAAGTAATACAAGAATCCTTCAATTTTGGACATCACTACAATAGCAATTATTTTAATTTTTTAATCTTTTACAATAATAAATGCCTTAGTTGTAATATACTTAAAAATAAAAGCCATAATAATCCGACTTATTTGTAGTAGAACTAATAAATCAAACATATAAGATAATGATTATATGAAAGGAATATTTCCATAAAACATGGACATAAGTAAGTATATTTATAATAAATTAATATTAATAATATAAATTTATTTTAAAGGTATAATTGATTAGATATTGTCTTCAAATAACAAATTTACTTAGAAATTTGTCTAATACAGGAAAAATTGATTGATCATCTTTGAAATATAAAATGTCAATAAAAATAAAAAATGATATTTATAATAATTAATTTATAATATTGGAAATTTTAAAGTAAATAATTAATTTAAAAAGATACAATTTAATGTTACAATAAAGAATATTAAAGCATAAATAAATTAAATTTACAAGACTATAATTAAATAATTAAAAGATTGTATATTAGGTAAAAAAGTATTTAAAAATTAAGAAATATTTAACAAATTTTATATAAAATTCTAAAGTAAATCATTTGACAGAAAGCAAAAGTGAGAGTAAATTCATAAAATTAGTTAAAGAATTGTAATGTTGAATTTATTCAAGACTTTATTATATAACTTATAAACAAAAATAAATTAAATTTACAAAAATGGAAAATTATAAAACTAAATAGTATTTATTCTTTAAAAAAGTATATATAAATTAAACAGTATAAATTAATATTTATATGAAATTTAAAATTAAATAATTTAAGAAAGCAAAAGCCGATTTTATTTTATATAATTTGAATGAAAAAATATTGTATTTATTCAAAATTTTATTATTTTTCTTAAAGAAAAAGTAAAATTAAATTAAATTTACAAGACCAGAAAATAATTTTATTAAAAAATATTTATTTTAATAAAAAATCTATTTAAATTAAAAAAGATTAAATAAATTACTTTCATATAAAATGTTAGAGTAAAGTATTTGATGAAACATCAAATGTAAATTATATATAATGAAATACGATTTGTTTATTTTTCTACTTAAAGAAAAAGTAAATTAAATTTAAAAAACTAGAAAATATTACTTACCGTTGTTGTAATTAATTGATATTAGATACCAAATAAATTTGATAAATTTTAAATCATATTATTTTTTTTTATTAGCTTTAGTGAAAGGCATGAACTACTATTTTTTGTTATAAAAATTTAATCAGAGTTTTTTTTTGCTAAATTAAATATTATTTATAAAGTTTTTCATTTTTAAAATTTACAGATTATTTAGAGTATTCTTCAAATCAATTTTTAAAGAAACATATTTGTTGAAAAAAATCTTATTTGATACAAATTTACTAACAAAAAGGTAGACATATTTTGCTATTTTAATTAGCAAGTGTATTAAATTCTTTTTAAAAATAAATAAAATTTGACAATATGATTTAAGCATTGATCACATAATATAGCCATATTTATGTCTTTCATTTTTCTTTCTAAATTTGGTGATGTCTGATCACTATTTTATGTAAATGCTTTTATTCTTTCTAAAAATACCATTTATTGTATTATTTTTATGTATTGTATGGTATAAAAAGGGTATAAATAATTACAGAAATTTTACAAAAAAATAACTCCAAGTAACTTCCAATATGAGAATATTATGTTAAATTGATACATTTACATTAATTTATTCAGTTTTTGGTCAATGAAAAAATAATTTAACCTAAAAATATTTGATTATATAGGCAAATAAATTAATTAAAAATTTGTGGTGTTTATTTGATAATATTGCTTTTCTTTAAAGTAAATCTAAGATAATAAAATGTTTTCATAAAAAAAACTTGCTTTACTTATATTTATGTTTATTATATCATCACAACAACTTTTATTAGACAAAATATCTTAATTATATGGATTATATTAAAACTTGATTAAATTTTATTTAATTTAGACGCAAAGGTTGGCTCGCTTATAACAAAATTTGGTATTTATTTTGAAATTATTTTTGAATATACTGTCATATGTACAAATGTAAAGAATTTAAAAATAGTTACATACGTATCAAGTATCAAATGCATATTAAATAAATTATTTATAAAACAATAAAATTAGTGTAAGCAATTTTCATTTTATTCAGAGATTTAAAAACTAATAAGGGATGAAAATAACTATGTAATTTAGTAGATCGTAAAATAATTTATCAAAAGAATATTCTGTTTCTTTTTAACCAATTAATTTACCATAAAAAATAGAAAATTTTAGAATGTGAGTTATCTTTTTATTGGAATGAACTTCGTTATTTTTAAAATTTTGGTATACATTTAAATTCTTTTTTGATTTCTCTCCTGTAAATATTTGTAAACTATTTTCATACTTATGTAAGTCTATTTTTAATTGTAATTACGAAAATAATTAACTTGATTGAGGATAGATGGATGAATGATATATTAATATAAATTAATTATCAAATTGATTTATTTGAAAAATTTCAAATAATTAATATATATATATATAGTACCCTAAGTTACTGTCTTTTTCAAGACTTCATGCACATATTTTCAATAGATTCATTTTAAAAAAATGTATCAATTAATTAACTAATTTTTCCTCTAAAATAAAAATACTTTCTGATAGACTTTATATTAAGAATAAAAGAAATTAATTATAATTATTAATAAATACAATAGACGTAATTTATGATTATATTTTCATGTTTTCGATTAGATTAGTGCTATTTATTTCCTTTCTTTCAACCATTAAACTAATTTAAAGAAAATAAAAAATTATTTGAAAATAATGTTATTATATTTCTTAGCTTGGAGATATTTTTATGCATCCACTTAAAAAGTCTTTATTTTTGGCAGGTAATATGACTATTTCTTCTCTAAGTATGTTTAATTCTTAAATATTCCTCTATAAATATTTATCGACTGTGCCACTAAAACTAAATACATTCATAATTAATTTAATAAATTGTTGTTACATTTGTTATTTATGGATTTTCTGATTAGAGTATACGAAATATATATTTTTCAAATTAATAAGAGTCATATATATAAATATCTTATTAAGACTATAAATAATTTGCTTAGATAAATTAAAAATTGTGAAGAAAGAAAGATAAAATATTTGAAATAAATAAAAAAAAAAATCTATCTAATTAAGATATCTCAAAAATATTAAATTGATGGTATAGTTGGATATGTTAACGATCTACTAATACAAATATTTCATTCTAATACTAATTTATAATTTCAGATTACTCCTTGCTTATTAATATACTAGCATTCCAACTAGTAATGTGATCATTAAATAAAATGTTTGTAGTACTTAGCCAAATAAAACTTATATTCTCTAACCGTAAATATCTAATTGCCCATTTAATAAAAGCTATTTAGTAAGTATATATAGATTGGATTATCCTATTCAATTTACAAATGGTTACAATTTAACCTAAACAGTTGATAATCTAAATAATTAAGTATCATTTAGTATTAAAGATGAACATAAAATATGCTATTAAATATCAGAAATATGCCTGAAAAACGTTTTTTTTAGATAATACTAAATAAAAAACCCAACATTTTAAACAATTGATAAACAAAATATTCACTAAGCATTTGATAAACCTGATAACTATACAACAAATATGAAAGCTTTGGGCTTTATAACAGGCTATTATTCAACCCAATAAGAAACATATAGTTTATTTCTAGATTTTATTAATAATACTAATGATAATTAAAAAGGATTTTAAATTTAATTTTCTACTTAATCTTTAAATAGTATTAGTGAAATCAATATAAACTATATTTATTTTCCTGAAGACTAATATTACTCAGGTAACAGTTATTATAACATTTAAAGTTATAATGATTCTTAATAGCTAAATTTGAATAGATTTAGTTTTAACATTTCTTACACTAATGGTGATGGTAATTAATATAAATCAACTAGTTAACAGCAAATGCAAAGTTTTTAAGTTAAAAATTTATAAAATACAATTGGTGGAATTAATGGTTTTAATTTTTGTGGTAATAAAATTGACTGTGGTAATAGTGTAAGAGCTTTGCTTAATATTAAAAATGACAATACCTATAATTATACAACCTGGTCTATTTCATAAATATACAGCATAACAAGTTAATTTATTCAATTTAATATGTTAAATTGTAATTTAATTAATTAAACAATAAATTTCAATGATCAATGTGTAAATGAGTGTCCTTAAAAATATTTCAACAATACTGATAATACAAGTTAATAATTATAAGTTTGCTCTTAGTGTTCAGAAGAATGTTAAAATTGTTAAAGTGAAAAAAGTAAGTGCATAACATGTAAATCAGGTTAATATCTCTACAATAATACATGCTTTAAGGATCAACCTGATAAAACATATTGTGAAAATAAATAATTTAATTATTTTATTTGTACAGAATGTAAGAACTGCACAAAATATTGCGATTCTAATGGATAATGTTTGGATTGTAAAAATACTTATTATTTTTATAGAGATAAATGTTAAAATGAATTACCTCCACCAAATACATATATAGATAATGGAAAATACTTTGATTGTCATTAAACTTGCAAAACATGTTTCTAAAAAGGGCCAAATTCATGTTTAAGTTGTGATGAAAATAATTTTATTTATTAAAATAATTAATGTGTTTGTAAAGATCAAAAAGGATTGGATCAAAATTTTACTTGCGTAAATTGTAAAGTGCTTGGGTGTTAAAATTGTACTAGTGATTACACTACTTGTTAGGGATGCTAATATGACATGATCTTATAAAATTCTATTTGTATATGCTCAGACTAAAATTATTATTTTAATTAATTTAAATGCATTCAAAGTCCTAATTATAAGAATTGCGAAAAATTGAACTAATTTGATTCAAAATGCGAATAATGTAAGAAAGGATTTTAGAATTATCATGGAACTTGCACTTACTGTGGAAAGTAATTTATTTAAAAATTTATTATTTTTAATTCTAAAGTTTTATTAAAAAATTTTAGAAAAATTCCCAAATTTTATTTTTAACAAAATTTTACAATTATATGAAGTGGAAAGTATGTAGCATCTGATAATAATTGCAATGGATAATGTGCTCAGAATTGTATTTTTTGCTTAGATAGCTCATCTTGCCAAGTTTATGATTAAGATCTTTCTTGTCATTTCACATGCACAACTTGTACAAAGCCATTATCTTAAAACTCCTGCCTTGGATGCATATCAGCTACCAGAAAACTAAATAACTCAACAAATACATGTGATTGCATTCCTGGATATGAAGAAAGTGGAAAAAATGACTGTAATAAAACTGAAGATCCTGTAAGTACTTCACAAATCAGTTTCTTAAATACTTTTTTCTAAATTTCATATTACATATAGTTACCTTTGATTTTTTTACCAATTTATACACATTTACAATATTCGTTTCTTCTTGGGTAATAAATTGGCATAATAGGACTATTACAAGGCGTAGATGGAAAAAATCTAAGAATCTAAATGATGCAAAAATATAGCTAATTTAGCTTTTATAATTCTAATTATTCAGACCTTAATTCATAATATTAGAGCTTAATTGAGTATCAATAGCTGATTTCAATCATTTTGATTACAGTTTTTCTTTTAACGATATTTATGAAACTCATAAAAATTAATTAAAAACACTACATTTTACACTTGATATAAAACAATTTATTTATAATTGCTGGAAGATTTCTCACAACATAATCAATTTTCTTCCTAATACACTTTTATTTTTTAAAAGATTAATAAGATAGGAGTTAATCAATATTCTATTACCTAATTTGTTCACTAGTGGCTATCTACTACTTGTATATAATGTTTGTTACTGCTTAAGTATATAAATAAAAAGAAATTCTCGAATATGGATCTAGTATTACTATTATTAAGCATTTGATTTAAAAATAATTTAACCCTAACTAATACTTAAGTATAACAATAAATTTAAATAAATTTTTTAACTTTAGCATCTTTCTTTGGATTATAATAGAAATTCGTAAAATAGTAGCTGTATTTGTGATATGTTAATTTGGTTAATAATTTTTGAGTTTCATATGCTTGGGAAGTATAAGTATAATTTTTTTAATAGCCCAACTAGTTTTTAAAATATTTATTGATAAAAGACATTCTCTTATTGTTGTATCAGCTGAGATATTTAGTTTTATATTTTTGATTTTCAATTTTTTAATTGTAAAATTTTAAAATCAAGAAAACTATAATTAGAATACCTATTCTTCTCCAACTGCTTTTGAAATAGTTTTGATTGCTATCTTAATGATTAGATAGGTTCTAGATACCATATTATCATTAAATGCATATTACATGATTTTTAAATCAATTTAAATTAGTCGCAAAAAGATACCTGAACTTAATTTCAAGAATGAACTTTATATGAACAACTTACCAAAAGAATTTGATATTAGTAAATTCAATTAAAATTAAATACTTTTATAAATTATTATATCTCAATAAAATAGGTACTATAAGTTAAATTTTAGATCAATCTGGAAAATTTTAAAAGTCATTTAAAGGTTAAAACTATTGAATAAGAGCTTATTTAATACTTGTATCTTAGATATTATTTAATTTGTAAAAAAAGAGAGTTAAAAATTAAAATATTTAATTCTAAAATCTTCTTAATTATTTAAATATTTAATTAAGTATTTAGTGATAAATAATAAATTTTTCATCAAAAAATAAAAAATTTTAGTAAAATTTTTAATATTTTTTTAATAAAAAGAAAAGTGCTATACTTCGCAAACTAGTTTCTTAAATATTTTCTTTTAAATTTCATACTAAATTTAATTACCATTAATTTTTTTACCAATTTTACATATTTACATTATTTGTTTCTTCTTGGATAACAAATTGGCATAATAGGACTATTGCAAGGCATAGATGGAAAAAATCTAAGAATTTAAATAATGCAAAAATATAGTTAATTTAGCTTTCATTATTCTAATTTTTCAGACCTTAATTCTTAATATTGGAGCTTAGTGCAGTAGCAATAGCTGATTACAATCATTTTAACTACAGTTTTTTTTAACAATATTTATGAAACTCATAAAAATTAATTAAAAATATTACATTTTACACTTAATATAAAATAATTTATTCATAACTGTAGGAAGACTTCTCACAACTTAATCGATTTTCTTAGTAATACACTTTTATTTTTTAAAAGATTAATAAGATAGGAGCTAGGCAATTTTCTATTACCTAACTTGTTCACTATTAGTTATATACTTAATTATTTTAACATTTGTTACTGCTTAAGTATTTAAAGAAAAAGAAATTTTAGAATATGGATCTAGTATTATTATCATTATTATTCAGCAGCATTTGATTTAAAAATAATTGAACACTAACCAATATTTAAGTATTACAATAGATTTAAATAAATATTTTAATTTTAGCATCTTTCTTTGGACTATAGTAGAAATTCGTAAAATAATAGCTGTATTTGTGATATATTAATTTAGTAAATAATTTTGGAGTTATTTATGCTTGGGTAGTATTAGTATACTTTTTTTAATAGCCCAAATAATTTTTAAAAATATTTATTGATAAAAGGCATTCTATTATTGTGATATCAGCTGAGATATTCAGTTTTATAATTTTGATTTTCAATTTTTAATTGTTATCAAGAAAACTATAATTAGAATGTCTATCCTTCTCCAACTGCTTTTGAAATAGCTTTAATTACAATTTTAATGATTAGATAGGGTTTAGATACCATATTATCGTTATATGCATATTATATAATTTTTTAATCAATTTTAATTAGTCACAAATAGATATCTGAACTTAGCATCAAGCATGAATTTTGTATGAACAACTACCCAATAGAATTTGATACTAGTAAATACAATTAAAATTAAATACTTTTATAAATTATTTATTTCAATAAAACAGGTACAATAAATTAAATTTTAGAATAATCAGGAAAATTCTCAAAATCATTTAAAGGTTAAAAATATTGATTGAATAAACTTGTATCTTAGATATTTTTTTATAATGATATTAAAAAATTATAATATTAAATTCTAAAATATATTTAATTATTTAAATATCAAATGACAATAAATAATAACTTATATATTCTAGATAAATTAATACTTGATACTTACTACTCTTTATTAAATAGATTACACAAACCAGATATCAAATTTTAAGATAGTTATATAAATAAATAAATAAACCTCTAAAAATATTCATATATTTTAGTTATTTATATTACAAAATTGAAATTTAAAAAACAAACTTAGTTTTAAATAGAATACTAATTATTTTATTTTTTACTTATTAACTTTTTAAGGATTTATTTTTTAATTTAAATAATATTATTTCCTAATTAAATTGTAAGAATTTTTAAATTTTAACATAAAATATACAATAAAAAAATCTAACTATATTTAGGATTTAAAAAAGAGAAAATGTGTAAACCAATCATAATTTATCATCTTTATTTCAAAAATAAAATTATAGTTAGATGTAGTTAAGTATAGGAAAAATTTAATTTATATGTGATTTATTTTGATCATTTTGTACTATTAATTATAAAAGAATACTCTTACTTAAATTATTTAAATAATTATTGTTTGCTCTAGTTATATAATTTATAGAAGTGCTATTTATACTTATATACCAAAAAGTCTCTAAATATTTGTCTATTTTTTAAAGTGTAACTTATTTTTTATTGAAGTATAAAAAAATTAAAAAATATATTTTTTAAAATAGCCAAGTGCTATAAATTTGAATTTTTAAGGTATATGAGCTGAATTTAATATTTAAAATAGTTAATACCATATAAAAATATTTTTTTATTGTAAATTTTAGTTAGATCTATTTATATTAGAGAATAGTTTCATTCAAAATAGTTAAGCTAATTAAAATTTTCTAAGGTAATACTTTTAATTAATATATTTTGCAATGAAGTAGAAATTTATTTAAAAGTAGCAAAAAAATAGTTTTAAAGAGCAAATAAATCTATTATTCATATAATAAAATTATTAAATTGATAAGTACTTTCATAATTATTTTATAAAATTGTTTGAAAATATATTTATTTTTAAAATAATACTTTTCTTACATCTTGTTTGTTTATAAATTCATAATGATTTTTTATTTGATTTTGATTCAGTAACTTATTACCTGGTTTACTTTTGAAATTATTAATCTCTTTAATATCTAAATAAAAGAATGAGAAAATTTATCTTATTTTTAAATATTTTTATCAAAGATATTTTAAAGTAAATAAATTTATCTTTTTAATATTAATATTTTTGTTGATTTCAATAAAATATTTCAAATTAAATGATTGGAGGGATATTCCTATCAAATTTATGTTTTGTAAGTTCAAATATAATTAAGTAAGTAAGTAACTAATAAATAAATAGAACAATTTATTTTTGTATTTTAATTAACTAAGCAAGTGTTATTAAATTATTATTTATCTAATTATGTTTAGCATGTAAAATTACTTTGATTGATTTTACTTAACTATTTTTTTACTCAAAGAATACTAAATTAGGAAGTAAAATAGGTAAATATAACTAAAAATTTTCAAGTTATCAAATTAAATATAGTAATACTTAGGTTTTTTCTATTTCAGTATTTAATTTATATTTAACTGATCATAATGTGCTCAATGCAATAATCATAAATCAAAAAATAAAAGATAAAAAGATAAATCAAAATCAATCAAGATTGAAACAAACAATGAAAATAAAATACATATTATTGCTTGTAATTTGCTTGCTCAGCTTTTGCACCTCATAAGAAACAAACTTAAAATAAAAATTACCTGAAGAAACAAATGGAGATACAGAAGAAGGTGAGACTATTGAAGAAAATAATAAAAATTATGAGGAAGACTTGGAAAGATAAAGAAGAGAAGAAGAGGATGGTGATGACGATGATGATGGTGCAATAGATTTGGATTGTTAGTATAATCCAAAGACAAATTTAGTTGAATGTTATACCAAGGAAGACTTATAAGAAATAAACGACAAAAAGGATGATGCTAATGAAAACAAAAACTAAAAAGTTGAAGAAGAATAAAATTTGAGTGAGACTATTGAAGAAAATGATGAGGAAGAAAGTAGAGAAGAAGACAAGGATGGTGATGACGATGATGATGGTGCAATAGAATTAGATTGTTAGTATAATCCAGAGACAGATTTAATTGAATGTTATGACAAGGAAGACTTATAAGAAATAAACGACAAAAAGGATAATGCTAATGAAAACAAAAACTAAAAAGTTGAAGAAGAATACAATTTGAGACATGGTGATGAAGAGGGAAATAGCAATGAAGAAATTGAAAATTTAGATATAGAGAAAACTGAAGATTAAAAAACCTATATATCAATAATATCATTTACCTTTTTAGGATTATTCTAAATATTATTTTGATTTTTGTTTTTAAAATAATTATTTATTTAATGCTATTGTAATTATTTTAAATATTTAATTTTAAAATTATTCTTATTTTTAAAAACTAACATTTAAGAATTTATTAGATTTTTATATGAAATTTGAAATTTAAAATATTTCTTTATAGTCAAAATATTGCTTTCTTTTTTGTCATTAAATTAAATACATATTTAGATTTTGTTATTCATTAGTACAGGTATCACTATTTATTTATTTACTTATTTATTTAATTATTTATTGATATATCTTTATGTTAAATTTATAATTTTATGTTTTTTTAACCTTGCTATACATAAGAAATAAAATTCAAGAATCAGACAGTAATTAAGGGGAAATGGAAAAAAACCTATTCAGTATAAAGTATATTAAGAAGAATCTGCTTTTTATAAAAAAAGTAATAATTATTTTTCTATAATCTTAATTAATAAATTCAAAATAAAATTTTCTATAAATAAAAAAAATGAAATGCAACAAATTCCTATTTCAGTACACAAACTTTATTTTTATTTACAATACTTTGCTTTTTTTAAAATATAATCTAAATAAGAGCTAGCTTGATTTTGTATTATAATATGAATTAAAATAAAAACATTTTATAAATTCTTGAATATTGAATGCAATTAAGACAATTAATAAAAAGAGTAATTATAAATGAGATAATTATTTTTAGAGGATCAATCAAAATAATAATTTTTTTTTACTCACTTTTGAATTTTAAAAATAATAAAGATAATTAATAAAAAGAATAATTTTATACACATGATATTATTATTTTTATAAAATAAAATAAATAAAGAGTTTAGTTTCTAACAAAATTTTATTAATTTCTAAAATATTTAGCTTTTAAAAGTTTCAAAGAATCATTTTAATTTTTTATTTAACAAATAATTTTTAAAAAAAAAATTGTAGATTTTATTGCATGAAATAATATCAATGAAAATATATTTTAATTTAGAATGGATTAAATGTTTGATTAAAAAATTTAGAGCTCTTAATTTAAAAATTAAATGCTTGATTTTATTATTTTTTGATAATAAATATCAAAATGCCTTACTAAAATTTAGTGAAATGACATCATAATGTTTTAGAAAGACCATTATTTTTTAATAATTTTTTTCTAATTTGAAAAAATTTAAAATATTCAAATTTAGTTTTTAGTAGAATGTAAACTATTAAATTATTTAATTGATATATTGTTATATATTTCATCATACATTTTCTTTCTTATCTAAAATAAATTCAAATTTTTAAGGTAAATACATGATATGGCTGATTAATTATTTAAAATAATTAATAATTTAAAAAATTATTTTTTAATGTAAATCTTGATTAGATCTATTTTAAATTAAAGTGTCATTTCATTCAAGATAATTAAAAAAATTAAAATTTTCTATAGTATCACTTTGAATTAATATATTCTCCTTCAATATAAGTAGATGATTGTTTAAGAGTAACAAAAATTATAATTTTTAAAAACAAATAAATATCTTATTAACATAATAAAATCATTATTTCTTTCTTGATTGAACTAGGTACTTTCATAATAATTCAATATAATTGTTTGAAGATAAATTTATTTATAAAAATATAATAATTTACTTACTCTTATTTGTTAATAACTTCATAATAATTTTTATTTGATTTTCATTCAGTAACATAATTGCTGTATACTTTTTAAAATTATTGACATCTTTAATATCAAAAATAATGAGAAATTTTTCTTATTTTTAAATATTCTTATCAAAGATATTTTATCACTAATAAATTTAATATTTAAAATGAATGTTTTTGATGACTTCAATAGAATATTTAAAATTATATAAACGTCTTGTTTATTTTACTAATAGTTTTTAAATATAATGAACTCATATTATTAATTGAATGTGTTATAGAATAATTTATTATGATTGAATTTTTGTTTTGTAAATGCAAAAAATAATTAATTAAGTAATAAAAAAATATTACAATATATTTTTGTACACTGATTAATTTAACATTTTGAGTAAAGATAACATTAATCTGTCTACTTTTTTCAATTATTTTTTCAAAATAGCTGAATCTAATTACTGGTTTCTAATAAAGTTTTCAATAAAAAAATAACATATTTATATCAATTACTGCAATGATAAAATATATCTAAGATTTAAATAATATTTTTTTACATAGGTGTTTCGAATAATTGAATTTTTATTTCTTTTTTTGATAAGTTGTTAAAATAGTTTAATGTTTTCTTGGTTATTATGAAATTATTTTATTAAATTATTGAATTTACAAATAAAATTAAATTAATTATAATTTATTAAATTAAGTTTAACAAGTAAAATTGCTTTGATTGATTTTGCTGTACTATTTTTGAACTCAAAGAATACTAAAATAGTAAGTAAAATTAGTAAATAAAATTAAAAATTTTCAAGGTATCAAATTAAATTAGTAATACTTAGGTTTTTTTAATTCTTTTATGATCTTAATAAAGTTTGTTTTTTAGAATTTGCAAAAAAAGTAAAAATATTACATTTTTTTATTAAATAAGAAGTAATGATTTAAAAATATTTTAAGTAGTATTAATTAATGCCTTGTTTTCAAAACACTTATAAAAAATAAAAGAATTTTAATAAAATGTTTGATTTATTTACTTCTAATTATGTTAAAAAGTTCTCATTAATTAAAATACAATAGAGTTATTTATCAAAATGATTAATTACATGCTTTATACATATAAGAAAAATCTAAAACATTAAGAAAAAAAGATATATCTATTTTATTTATTAATTTAATATTAGGATTAACTTTATTTAAATTTGTTAGATCTAGAATTAAAATCTATATTGCTTATTTTTATTAAATTAATTAATATGTAATATTATTTAAATTATACCTTAGTACATAAAGTCTCCATTTCTTTTTTTGTTTTTTCATGAAAAATTAAAATCAAAATTAATATATTCCATCCAATATATATTTTCATTCTTATCTAAAATAAATTCGAATTTTTATGGTACATAAAAAATATGGCTGATTAATTAATTCAAAATAATTAATAATATACAAAATTATTTTTTTAATGTAAATTTTAGTAAGATCTATTTTAAATTAAAGTGTCATTTAATTCAAGATAATTAAATAAATTAAAATTTTCTATAGTACCACTTTGAATTAATACATTCTCCTTTAAAGTAGATGATTGTTCAAAAGTAATAAAAATGATAATTTAAAAGATCAAATAAATAAGTTATTAACATAATAAAATCATTATTTCTTTCTTTAATGAGGTAATTTCATCATAATTAGATATAAATTTTTGAAAATATATTTATTTTTAAAGAAATAATAAAATCGTTACTCTTATTTGTTTATAACTTTATAATAATTTTTATTTGATTTTTATTCAGTAAGTAAATTGCTTATTTATTTTTTTTAATTATTAATATTTTTATTATCCAAAAAATGAAAAATTTATCTTATTTATAAATATTCTTATCAAAGATATTTTATCGCAAATAAATTTAGTATTTAAAATGAATATTTTTGGTGACTTCAATAAAATATTTAAAATTTTATAAATGTCTTGTTTATTTTACTAATAGTTTTTAAATATAATCTAAAAATAGATAACTCATATTATTAATTGAATGTGTTATAGAATAATTTATTTTTATTGGATTTATGTTTTGTAAATGCAAAAGTTAATTAATTAAGTAATAGTTAAATATAACAATTTATTTTTGTACACTAATTAATTTAACATTTTGAGTAAAGATGACATTAATCTACTTTTTTTAATTATATTTTCAAAATAAATTAATCTAATTACTGGTTTCGAAAAAAGTTTTCATTAAGAAAATAACATATTTATATAATTTGCCTCAATGATAAAATATATGGAAGATTTAATTAATATTAATATACATAGACGTTTCAAATAATTCTATTTTTATTTCACTTTTTCATAAATTATTAAAATAATTTAATGTCTTCTTGGTCATTATGAAATTATTTTATTAGATTATTGAACTTACAAATAAAACTAAATTAATTATAATTTAACAAATAAAATTGTTTTGATTGATTTTACTGTACTATTTTTAAACTCAAAGGATACTAAAATAGTAAGTAAAATTTGTAAATAAAACAAAAATTTTTCAAGGAGGTATTAAATTAAATTAGTAATACTTAGATTTTTTTCTATATCAGTAAAGGATTTATATTTATCGGACCATAGTATGATTCAAAGTAATAACTATAAATCAAAAAAAAAAAAAGATAAGAAATCAAAATCAAAACAATGAAAATAAAGTACCTATTATTGCTTGCTAT